TTAGGAAGATTTATTTGGAAGCCAACTCTGTTGTGGTCACACTCTGTCCAGACACGGGAGGGTCCAAGCTGCCTACTTGGAAAAATGCGTCCTTGTCATCAGGACCATGCAGGACTTGGGAACCATCAAAGTTTTAGCTGCCCAGATACTGGACCTGGCTTGCCTGTCCTGGAAGGGACCTCATAGGAAAAGGGTCAAGAGCTAAGCATTGCAGGGAGGCAGTCTGAGCCTAGGGGCAGGTTTATTTCCTGGCACTTATTGTTATCTGGATTCATCTCCTTTATTTCTTTATTTCTCTATTCTTTTCTGTCACTTCACCACCCTCCCCGCCATGTAAACTCCATGGGAGCAGAAGCTCATCTGGTTTGCTTTATCCTATCTCCCAAGTGCCCAAAATAGTGCAGCAGTATTTATTTAAAGAGGGAGTGAGTGAACAAATAAATAGTGAATGAGGTTCTAGAAGCTGTTTGTGGCCCAGACCTAGGCCACCTCCACAAGGGTGTGCTGTGAACCCAGGCACCATGCTGGCTTCTGAGATCACAAGATAGGCGTTCAGGTTCTCCTGGCTGTCTGAGTCTGCTCTCCAGGAACGGCCATTAAAGTCTGCTTCTGATCTTGGAAGGAAAGGATTCAGATTTATGTAGCCCTGGACTCAGCAACCATGGCTCCCAGAGACCCCCGTTCATGGCCCACAGATGCATGTGCCCTGGAGTAAAACCGTGGGGGAGACATGCTTGCTTCATATGAAGGCTGTTTTAAACAGACACGAAAAATTCATCATTCATGGAAACCCACTGCTTTTCTTCTTGAATGGGAAGCAAATGAACAGACATAGAAAAAATATCGACCAGGGTAGGTCTCCTCAGCTCCCAGGGACATAGATGGATCAGGGATGGTTCAGCTTCTCTTCTGCCACTTTTGTTTTACCAAACCGTCTACCACTTGGGCTTCCCTGATAGCTCAGTTGGTAAGGAATCCGCCTGCAACGCAGGAGACCCTGGTTCAATTCCTGGGTCGGGAAGATCCCCTGGAGAAGGGAAAGGCTGCCCACTCCAGTATTCTGGCCTAGAGAATTCAAGGACTGTATAGTCCGTGGGGTCACAAAGAGTCAGGCACGACTGAGTGCCTTTCACTTCACTCTACCCCACTCAGGGACACAACAGGTCCTCACTGCCCCTGCATCTTCCCCCAGCCCCACACGTGTGCACACGTGTGACCTATAGCCTTGCACACTGACCAGAGGTCGAAAACTGGTAGAATGCCGCACCCCTGCCAGGCAGAGTGCTGGACATGGGAATCATGGAGACAAGCCAGCTACCAGCCCCTGCTCACCAGGAGGCCATAGTGTAGTGAGGATGCAGAGGAAGAGCCCATCGCAGTGTGATGGTAGATTCTGAATTGTTGTTGTTCAGTTGCTAAGTCGTGTCTGACTCCACGGACTGCAGCATGCCAGGCTTCCCTGTACCTCACCATCTCCTGGAATTTGTCCAGGTTCACGTCCACTGAATTGGTGATGCCATCCAACTATCTCATCCTCTGCCTCCCTCTTCTCCTTTTGCCTTCAGTCTTTCCCAGCATCAGGGTCTTTTCCAGTGAACTGGCTGTTTGCATCAGGCTGAAGTATTGGAGCTTCAGTTTCAGCATCAGTTCTTCCAATGAATTGTCAGGGTTGATTTCCTTTAGGATTCACTGGTTTGATTCTCTTGCTGTCCAAGGGACTCCCAAGCATCTTCTCCAACACCACAGTTCAAAAGCATCAATTCTTTGGCACTCAGCCTTCTTCATGTCCAACTCTCACCTCCATACGATTCTGAGTTACACAGCCAGAAATGGGCTTGTGGAGGCCCAGAGGGGAGATGCATGACTGTGAGCATCAGGGAAGTCTCCTAGTGAAATGTGCTGGATCTGGAAGGGTGAGCAAGAGTTCCTCAAGTAGACAGAAGGGGAAGAATTCCAGACGAAAGAGAGAAATGCAGTGCAGAGGCTTAGGGATGTGAAGCGAGTTCAGTGCGCACAGGACGTGGCGGGAGCTTCCTGTTGGTCACAATATGACCCAGAGGTGAAATCAAGAGCAGCAAGTCCATATGGGGACTTGAAGGACATGGAAAGGAGGGCAAACTTTTAAATGACTGGTATTTGAGCAGAGAATGGTATGATCCCATGTACATTTTGAAACTCACACCCTGGTGGATGAGAATGGATGGGAGAGATGGAAAGCGGTATTGAAGAAATGAGTAGAGGCTTTGCTTTAGGGCAGAAAAATTGGTGGAACACATTTTTGTGAGGTGATAGAGATACAGAGGAAGGAAAAGATTTGAGGAAAGGAGATGCTGCTGACGAACTATGTGTTGGGTCCCCATGTTCTGGCCAGTGACCACACAGTATGTTAGGAATGTAAGGACCAAATTCTCTGGATTTGTCAAGTAGGGAACCCCCCACACTACCCTTTCAGTTCAGTTCAGTCGCTTAGTCATGTCCGACTCTTTGCGACCCCATGAACTGCAGCAAGCCAGGCCTCCCTGTCCATCACCAACTCCCGGAGTCCACCCAAACCCATGTCCATTGAGTCAATGATGCCATCCAACCATCTTATCCTCTGTCATCCCCTTCTTCTCCTGCCCTCAATCTTTCCAGCATCAGGGTCTTTTCCAGTGAGTCAGTTTTTTGCATCAGGTAGCCAACGTATTGGAATTTCAGCTTCAACATCATTCATTCCAATGAACACCCAGGACTGATCTCCTCTAGGATGGACTGGTTGGATCTACCCCTGACCAAAAAAAAAAAAAAAAAGGCAGGCCATGATACAGGAGTGGGAGAGAAACCAGACTGCAGGTGGTTGAGCAGGGAGAGAGGATAACCTGTATGATGTGTGACTCCACTTTGGGGAAGCTTGCCTGGAGAGTGAAGAGAGGACATTCAACATAGAAAAAGATATTCCAGGTGACCATGTTTGGGTTTTAAATGGCAATGACTTATGCAAATTTAAGTGAAGAGAGTAGAGTCAGGGGAGAGGATGAAGTTGAAGTTCAAGGACAAGAGGAGGTAACTGGAATTGGGCCGGGGCGGGGGGGGGGGGGCTCGTTTCCAGTGGATGGGAGGGGTAAATGGTCACTCTCCTTAACAGTACTGTCTCTGCCCCTCTGCCCAAGGCTGCTTTCTGAATGATAACCAGAGGATGCCACAGGATGCAGCAAGATAATATGGTTAAAGGATTTACCCCATGCCTGGCGTGGAACAAGTGCTTGGTGAATGTAATTTTTATGACTATGAGAAACAGTGGCCTGTGGCTGAGGCTAGGCTGTCTGCTGTGACAATGAGTCAGACACTGATGGCATTCACCATGGGGAGCTTGTGGTCCGAGTCTCATCCATCCGAGCAAACAGACATGTCTAAGACAGGCACTGGCCAATATGGACATTAATGATGAATGTGGTGTGAGACAAGGCTGGCCATGCCCAATAGAAGTTCACCTAGGGCAATCCCCAATGCCTGCCCATTACTAGCTGTGCACTGATTTCAAAAGAGATGAATGTTTATCCCTGGTCAGATGGGTGAGAAATTCTTGAATGCTGTTTGCAAGACCCCAGTAAAAATGCTTCATGAAGCCTGCCCTGTTACAAGCATGCATGAAAACTATGCTTTAGCTCAGGTCTAATAGGCTTTATATAGTACAATACTGATTTTCTTTCATGTTTTAATAGAATCCGATTTAATATTTGCTTTCTGCTCTCTCTGCTTGCTGTTGACTGATTCAACACAGAATCCTTCCCTGGTGCCCCCCGACCTTGTTGTTATTCCCTCATTCTGTGTGTTGGCATTTGATTCCTGTCTCCAGCATGAACCGCTTTACACATGTCTCCGTTCAGCTGGCGACATGTCACGTGCGTGAATTCTGAATGCATTACTATCCAGAGCAGTGGCTCCCGCAGGCCTTCCATTCAGAAGGGGGGCTTCCAGGCAGAGTCTGTTTCCATCAGGTGGATACTGAGGATAAGCAGAGCCCATCCTGGGAACTGGAGGCTATGATCCATTCTGTTCTTGGGCAGGAGATTCTCCAACTGGATCTCAAAATGCTTGGGACTGCAGCCATGAATTTAGCAGCATTCTGCCCTCTTTCTAGGGACCAAGCTTTCTAGAGTTTTGCAACAAGGCATCTCAGCCTTTGCAGGCGTGTGAACAGCAGCCAGGGATGGAACTGTCCGGAGGAAAGAGGCTGCCTTCCTTGAGTCCCGGTGAGCCTGACTGGTTTGTAGAAGAGATGGTCTATTCAGATCTCTTGTTTCCCATGAATAGATCTGACCACCAACATTTTGAGTGCCATATCAGCTTAAGACCAGCTCTGGTAGCTAGCAGAGTGTTTGGTACAGACCCCTATGCTCTTCTTGTATCGTGGGGTAAGAAATAGTGGCTGTGTGAATCTCCTACCCAACATGGCTTTGTGCACCAATGCTTGTACAATGTGAATATTCATTTCTCCAGGTGTTCTGGAAGCCCATCCTGCAATGAAACACTCCCACTGCCATGCACATACCACATAGATCCCAGGTTGTGTGAGACAGTATGCAAGATGCCTGAATATGTTGAGTCCCAGGAGAGGTCACTCCTGTCCTCCAAACCTTGAGTTCTACACAAGAAGAGACATGGAATCCAATAAGAGTCCAGTATACATACGTGTCACTGATGCTAAAGCTGCCTGGAGGATGCAGCTTAGTCCTGAGAACAAAAGGGCTTGTATCCAAGACCTCCATCCTCCTCTCCCTTGGCAGGCATGATTCAAAGAAGGAAAGCCTCACTGGGATGACTAAAAGGGGAGCTGGCAACAGGTTGTCATCTCCATCTGTCATTTTTTCTCAGAAACGATTGGGACATGGTTGTTTAGAGTTGAGGGAGGAGAGGGGATGTGTGTATGTGAGGAGGGTGGGATCACACCAAAGAGGGATGGAGAGAAGCTGGCCAAGCTTCCACCCAACCTCACTGGGGCTTTCTTTGTCTCCCTACAGGTGTCCCATCAGGTCCCCGCAATGTCATCTCCATCGTCAATGAGACATCCATCATTCTGGAGTGGCACCCTCCTCGGGAGACGGGTGGGCGGGATGACGTGACCTACAACATCATCTGTAAGAAGTGCCGGGCAGACCGCCGGAGCTGCTCCCGCTGTGACGACAACGTGGAGTTCGTGCCCAGGCAGCTGGGCCTGACTGAGTGCCGCGTTTCCATCAGCAGCCTGTGGGCCCATACCCCGTATACCTTTGACATCCAGGCTGTCAATGGGGTCTCCAGCAAGAGTCCCTTTCCCCCACAGCACGTCTCTGTCAACATCACCACAAACCAAGCTGGTAAGTCTGGAGGTGTCTGTGCTCCTTTTGTCCATCTGTGGGGCTGACACTTTGCCACCTCTGTGCAGGAACAAAGCTGCAGCCACACCCAACCTGTTAGTCTGTCCTCAGGCCTCCTCCCAGGAGTGAAGGTATCAGGCGATAGACATTCGAGATCATGGAGAGGTTTCACCTCTGAGAGTGAACTGGATTCTGAGGGATTTTCCTGTGCCTGGTACAAAAGCAAAGATGTATATTCAGGCCAGCGTGGGACCCAGTGCTCTGCACCTTCAGCTAGGGCTCAAGGAACATCCTTGGATGGACAGATGGATGGATGGGTAGGTGGGTGGATGGGCAGAAGCACTGTACAATCTTGAGGACACCAGTGTTGCTTTCTTAGAAAACCCAATGAAAGCAACTTCCTAGAAATCTTGTCCGTATTGCCTTCATAGATTATTTTTCAATTAAACCCATGCAATTCAAGAGTGCACTCTCCTTTACAGCTGGCTTAGATGAATGCTACGCTGTTATAGAGACTTCAGACAGTTTATAATAGATCGATCCTGATGGCCAGTGCATCCCTCTACTGCATAGCTCAGAACACATTTTCTTCTCTTCTCTATCTCCTTGTCTTTTGCTCTTCTGACCTTTTCCTTTTATTACATTTCACACCTCTTGCAACAATGCATTTTTAAAATCCATTTAATCAGTCCATTCATGTACTCACTCATTTATTTATTTATTCCCTCATTATTGAGACAGTTATTCAGCATCTACTGTGTGCCAAGCTGTGGATTAGACACTGTGAGGGATACAGTGACACTTGGACACCATTGTTCCTCCCATGAAACTCATTAACTGAAAAATTTCCAGGGCATAGACACAAAGTGCAGAGGTGCAAGGTGGTGTATCCCAAGCATCATATGCTGTATTCATGCAGTAAATACCAAAGGAAATAGAAATGAGCAATGTTCCCCCCTGGGGGGAAGGTTCAAAGGGATGTTTAGATCACCTTTTATAGACAATGATGAGAATCCTAGGCAGTGGACCATGATCTTACTTGGAATTATGGATTTTTCTCAATCAGCAAATTCTAAAAGGACAGCTTGTTAGTGGAATAGCAGGAGCTGAGCTCTCTCTTCTTCCACATAGCTCCCAATTCTTGACCTCTTCTATCCTTCTCCATCCTTTCCTACTCCTCATTGCTCCCTCCCCCAGTCCTGAGACTCATTCTGCCTCTTTTAATACCAGGCATCTTTGATGGCAGATGATTCTTGGGTTTAAGCTGTCAGAACGGAGAAGAAAAAAAGGTGTCATCAGAGAGCATGGCTATCCAGATGGCTGCGTTGTTGCTGAGAGCATGTGTGTGTTCGTGTGTGCGTGTTTGTATGTATGCGTGTGGTCACGTGTTTACATGCATACGTGTGTAGTGAGAAAATAAGAGTGGAAGTGTGGAAGCCTCCAGCTGGTGACCACAGCCCCAGTGCCATGGAGACAAAGGTTGTGACAGCCTGTCTTACCCATAGAGAAGGAGATGGTAATTTCTGCATCATGATGAGCACGTAACATGGGCAGCCTTTGTTAGCAGTATTTCCCTTGGAGAGTTTAAGGCAGAAAACTGGCTGAAATATTTCAGTGTCCCGGCTTCTGGGAATAATGATCCTGCCAGGCTGTCATGTTGCGCTGGGGTTGGCTGTCTCTTCTCTCTCTAAGCATGTGTGAACAAACCTGCCACTTACACTGGTTTGCTTTGATTCTGCCCCTCCCTTCCCTTCCCTGCTATTCCCGAACCTGCCCATCTGCTTGTCTTGCCATCTGCACCTTCCCAGGCCGTGTGAGGCCGAGAGACCAGGGCTCCTGCAAGGGACCCTGCATCACCAGTGTTCAAAATATTTATGTTTCTCCTTACCCACTGGCCCTTCCAGAAGCATTTCTCATGTCCTTTGTTCCGCCTCTGGTGGGCCCTTTATTCTTAACTCTTCCTGACTTTGTAGGCCTAGTCCCACTGTCACCATCCAAGCAATGCCTTCTCTTTGAGAATTCTGGAGTTAGGGTGTCAGAAAGTTTATGATTGATGAGGTAAAGCTGCAACTGCTTCTTCATGGTGTATGGTTATTATAAAATAAAGATCAGGTTAACCAGTGATTTCTTATCCATTGGATAAGAAACAATGTACCAGGGAACAATGTGCTGCTTTGGTGAATCCACATGTGAATGTAAATTATTTTCAACCAAGAGATAATTTGTCTAAAAGGATGAGAACTTTCAAAATAAACACTTGAGCCTATACCTCTGCAAGAGGACTTTAAGAACATGAATGGAAGCTCCAGATTTTATAAAAGATGAAAGAGAGATTAATACCATCAAAAGATTCCCAGTGACTCACTCAAATCTGTTAAGGGATGAGGTAGATGAACCCCTGTATCACCAAGAAGTCATATCTGTCCCCTTTCCAGGGCACCCCCAGAGCTCTTCCACTCTGGCAAGATCTGGGTCAGCCTCCCTATCCTCATCTCTGGATGTGTTGTGACCCCTTATCAGTACCTGTGGCCACATCTCTCCTACTATTTGGGTCATGAGTGATGGCTCATATGGTAAAGAATCTACAGGAGAGATGGGTTCAATCCCTGGGTTGGGAAGAAGGTTGGAGAAGGGCTACCCACTCCAGTATTCCTGCCTGGAGAATTCCATGAACAGAGGAGCCTCGTGGGCTACAGTTCATGGGGTTGCAAAGAGTCGGACACAACTGAGCAACTAACACTTTCACTTTCAGATAGATGGCAGGTAAAGAATTTGACCAGGAGTAGTCCTGGGATCAATCATTAAGTCACCTGCTAAGTGTTCGTTGAGCATCTGTTCCCTTCATGGAACAGCCCGAACTGAAATGATGGAAGACTACTAAGTGGGTCCTGATTAAGGAGTAGGTCAGTAATAGTTATTATTCATGTTTGTGTCTCTTTTGAGTTACAGTTTTGGAATACATGGACTCATTTGATCTTCATAATTACTCTGTGGTTTGTGTGTTATTGTTCCCAATTTTTCCAGTAAGGAAACAGAGACTTCAAATGGCTTGAGGAATCTAGGATTAGAAGAAGGGTCAGCAGGCCATCCATTCTGCCTTTGCCTTCAGTTTCCTGCCCTGAAAGGTGGATGGTGCCTCTGGGCTCCCCATGTCAGAGCTTACAGGCACAGAGGGGTTATCCAGAGCCAGACAATGCCATCCTGCTGAGGGGAGGGGACCTCAGTGTGCAACCTGGTTACCTTCCACAATCTTTTCTGTGACACTGAACCATTAAACGGAGAAGGCAATGGCACCCCACTCCAGTACTCTTGCCTGGAAAATCCCATGGATGGAGGAGCCTGGTAGGCTGCAGTTCATGGGGTTGCTAAGAGTCAGACACGACTGAGCAACTTCACTTTCACTTTTCACTTTCATGCATTGGAGAAGGAAATGGCAGCCCACCCCAGTGTTCTTGCCTGGAGAATCCCAGGGACGGGGGAACCTGGTGGGCTGCCGTCTATGGGGTCGCACAGAGTCGGACACGACTGAAGCGCCTTAGCAGCAGCAGCAGCAGCAGCAGAACCATTAAAGGCTTCCCCCTGCCTCTGGATGGAGATGTGAGATAGGCGTGCAATTGTTAAGGGGTAAAAATCATTCCCAAGGTGAGTTGGATCCTGACAATAGATGTTTGGGTCACATGACGGAAGAGTTTGGACAAGTTGGCCACAAGTATTTTGAACTTGATCTGAACATCATTGTCTATTTTTGGATACTGTGCACTCCTCTGGGGTGGTTCCTCCTTTGTTTAGGAGCTATGGACCACAGGTGGCTGGGTGAGCCATCCTTACTCTCCAACAGAGTCAGGGTTTGTCATGCTGTTCTTTCTTGGGCTTCCTAGGTATACCACATTGATGCTGCATTGTGTCACCCTCATAAGCCCTACCCAATGGAGGCAGACAGCTCATCTTAGCTGATTTTTTTTTTTTGTACCTGACAAAAAGGGTTATGGTTGACATCATTCTATCTGAGAAAGTCACCAATACACTTCTTTTGCTCCTAAGGTTGTGATCTAAGGAGATTTTATAGTTATGTTTTGGTCCATTGGGTACACATTAGATATATTAAATAGTTCTTCCCTCAGAAACAAGCATGACTGGGGACACCAAAGGGTCTATTGAATCCTGAGATCCAGAGAGCTCCATCTCCTCCTGTTATGACCCCAGTCAGGTATATAGTCAGACTACTCAAGGATCTTGAAGAGTATCAGGGTTAGGATCTTCATCCAGCTCATAGACAGTGGCAGAGAACTACCACTTTTGAGCAGCTCCAATGTGTCAAGTCCCTATCAAGTTCTTTATAAAAATGAGGTGGGTCAGATGAAGAAACTGGGTTCAGAGTGCTTTTGAAATTTGCTCAGCCTCTCACAGCCAGCAAATGATGTTTCTGGGTTTCATACTCAGGTTTGTATCCATTTTATTCTCGGACAAATCAGAAATCGCATTATGGTGAGCCATGTAAGTTGTAAGCTCCCTCTAAGCTATTGCCACATAGCTGGGCCACTTTAGCTGTCAAAAAAATGTCCATCATCTTTGGTCAGGGTTGGTCATGAATTATGCAAGCTTAGATTTACGTGAGGTCTTTAGGGATGCAGCCTTGCACTGAATACAGCTGCCTTGAGTTTAAAATAGACCAGATCAGGTGGAACTCTCTCTCTTGCAGTGGCCCAGCGATCTGCAGAGAGGTTGTTATCACCACTAACTCCTGCAGTCACTCTCTGGCACCTGGCCCCAGGTTCATAATGATGGCTGGATCATCCAGCTGTCAGACAGAATTAAAGTGAATGACAAACTTTACTTATCTTTTCTGCCAACTAGACTCAGAGTGTCAGAATTGGGGACAAGGACCTTAGAGGAAATGTTGGAAAAAATAAGACAAACCAGACCGGCACATCCATAAAATCAACTTGTAGTGTGGTAACATAAAGTCAGTAAATTTGGGAGCATCTAAGCCAGAGAGATTA